AAACTCCTTCCATCGCTACTGAGACGATCGGACGGACATCTTCCTGGATCTCTGAGTGGACGCCCTTCGGTCTGGTCGCCTCCTACTACGTCTTCTCGGTATGCCTCTACATGTACTGCAGCAACGGGCTGATTGCCATCTTCTGGTTCATATACATGTGCACCAACTTTTACATTGCCGGCACAACTGTCTTGGAGGCCTTCTTCAGTATCACGCCCTGCCGCGAGGCAAGAGCAATCGTCACGCAAGCGCAGGAGAAGCAGTGGCTGTTCCCTACGCCACACCACAAGCTACCCATCCTCGATCTTCTCATCGTCGCCTACCTACCCAATGAGCAGGACATCATCATGGATCGCGCTCTTTATGCGCTTGAACAGCTCGATTACCCTTCTGACAAGATCCGCATCGTCGTCCTCTACAACACCCCCAAGCCAATCGAGCCATTGGAGACTGAGCTGCACCAACTTCCTCTGCGCTTCCCCCATGCAAGAGTCATCAAGGTACCCAACTCGACTTCCAAGGCAGACAACCTCAACTACTACTTCACGCTGGACACTGGATCTGACATCATCGCCATCTACGATTGCGACCACTACCCTCACCCCAACTCACCCCGATGGGCCGCTGAACGATTCGTTGCCGAGAAGGATGTCGACATCGTTCAAGGCCGCTGCATCATCTTCAACTCCGACGACAGCTTCATGACCAACATGATCGCAGTCGAGTTCGACAAGATTTACGCTGTCTCTCATCCCGGTCGTTCTACTATGTGGGGATTTGGTCTCTTCTGTGGATCCAACGGTTACTGGCGCACATCGCTTCTTCGCAATCTGAAGATGGACGACACAATGCTTACTGAAGACATCGACTCTGCACTTCGCGCATTCTCCAAAGGTGCCAAGACCGTTCATGATCTCAACGTGACTTCCTACGAGCTGGCCCCCACAACCTTCAGCGCGTTCTGGAAGCAACGTCTCCGGTGGGCTCAGGGCTGGGCTCAAGCGAGTATGCGACACATGAAGATGGTTTGGAATGGTGTCAAGGATCCGTTGCACGAAGAGCACGCCAAGCGCAGCTTCACTGCTCGCTTCGGTGTTTTGTCGCTATTACTCATCCGCGAGTCCTCGTACTATCTCGTCACACAGTACACGTGTTTAGTCGCATCATTCGTTATCGTCAAGTTCCCGACGTCCGGGGAGGAGCTCTGGAAGCTGGTCTATTTCCAGTACCCCGTGTCACAGTGGCTTTTCATTATCAGGTTCGTACAGCCCCCGACGTAATCTTGTACCTTGCTAACGGTGTCGTGTCACAGTATTGTCTGCTTGATTGCTACTCTTTGGATCACCAACCAGGTCAAATCCGAGTACATCTCCAGAAGGATGATCATCCTCTTCTCGGTTCTGTACCCGTTTTACCTGGTTCTCAACGCCACAATCGGTCTTTACGGCCACGCTCGCCAGCTTGTCAAGTACAGCTCCTGGAACCCAACAGCTAGGAAGTAGGGCCATATCATATTATCTTCTTAATTTTCTTTATTGTCAATATCATAGGGAAGGGGCACAAGGCTTTGGATGCTATCGTTTAGTTCGGGATGAAGCTCGCAAGCCATTAGCGGCGGCTGAGGCTTTCATGAATCACGCATCAGTACATAATACCCGATTAATTACATCATAATCACTATTACTACACATCATTTCTGCACATCTTGACATGATGACCGTTGTTGCAAATAAAGTTCTTCGAGAAATGATGCGCTCTTCTCATTTACCAATGATCATTGTCCATCGATTGACTCTGTTGTCCTGGCTCCTGAGTGGTCAACATGTGAAACTCGATCTATGAGATAACGCGCGGCATCACAGCGGAATGCAGAGCATCAGCCTTATCCCGGGCGACTCACGTCGGCGATACGATTTCCGATCTGTCACGCACAGTCTATCAAGGAAGGTAAACTCAGAGATAAGTAAAATCTTAGCATGAAGCAGGGCCGAAGGGCAGCGCTTTACTGAAACGGACCCTGCACCCTGATGCGTTGCCAGAAAGCATCGGCCTAGCGACATGAAAAAGGAAATAATCAACAGCACCAGGGGTGGCCGGGACATTACAAGTCGACTATGCGGGCGATCGACACGCGCTCGCTAGCGCGTAGATCCACTTCGCAAGTGTGCGTTCCCTAGGCCGCGTGGGATGCTACCTACCACACTACACCTGGCGGGTAGCACAGCATCGTAGGCCGGCGGAACCATCCGCAAACTTGCTAGAAAAATTCGACACGGCGTTATCTTCGGTGAGTAAGATCTGTTTCAGCGGGCTTTTGCTCTCCGGCACGCGGACCTTCCTTTTTTGGTGTGAGCACACGAGTCAGCCCCTCGGATTTTGGAAAACGTGCGGATTTCACGACCCTTCGTGGCCTATCGCACGGATGTTCGGTATGAAAATCAATGTGCACGGACGGCCGCAGTTGACATGGCGGTCACTGACAGGTGTAGATGCCCAAGTAGGGCTGCCCCATGCGCCACACGTGGAAGGTTCTGAGGAAGGCCGTTGCCCGGCGGTACCTGGGTGTTGAGAGATCAGGGTGCTTTTCATCGAGCACGTCACGACGTGCGTCTGGGATGTGTATGATGAAGACGGCAACGTTACAAGTCGGCAGGCCGACATTTCAACATCCGAGATCAAGATAACGATCAACAGCCGCCCGCCTCGTGTAAGTGGTCCGGATGCCAGAAATGCGAACTATTGTATGCCGCCAAAGTTACCCGCTGCCAGCCTCAACTAGGGTCAACGCTTATCGAACAACTGCTCAGCGGGACGTAGAGAACGCCACAAAAAGCATAGCTGATCCTTGGCATGCATGCGCCTGAATTGTGCTCGGAAGCTTGCGTTGCAACTAAGCTCAACGCTTCCCGTGCTCGGTAGGCAGATGCTGTGCTAGTCACGGAAAGAAAAGTCGCCTTCAGGTACGTGGTCGTTCTGGTGGCCAAGGTGCTGATCTCGGGTCTCCCACGGGGGGTCTTTGGTACGGGACGTGGTGCTACTGCCGCGAGTAGTCGCCAAGGGTCGTGCTGGTTTTGTTGTCTGTGTGGAATCAGAAGTCGAGGGTAAATTGCCTTGTTTGTAAGCTGCTCTTCCTCTTTATCACCGAGATCCTCATCTTTACCGCGATATCGAACAAGATGTCTGCAACAATGGAGTCTACCCTTTCATCCAAACTCAAGGCTATCTTCCCCTCGTCGTCGGCCGAGCAAGGAACGACAACCCTGTCGGCTGACCAGAACTACCTCATTGGGCTTCGTGGCCTGTTTGTATTCCAATCATTCCTCTACGTGTTCTTCCAGACCTTTCTTCCAGCCGCCCTTCCAGACTCGAAGAATGTTGATGGCCCGGCGTACCAGGTCGCACTTCGAAAGTCATTTTCAGTAATCTTCGCCAACGAGGCATTGATCTACTCATGGATCATCTTCCTCTCCGCACGAACTATCTGCTTACCTTACCTCGCCAACAAGACGCGTGAGGTCGGCGCATCGAGTGTCTTCCGTCGTGGCATCAGACTATGGATTCCGACTTTCATCGCCTACTCTTTTGCGGCAGCGGCATTCAGCACAACCTCGACCGACTACATCTCCGACTTCTTGGCCTCTACTGGCAACATCTCCACCATCGCACCGACGCGGATCCAGAACTTCTTGATTTACTTCAACTCCCTTTTCGAGATCTTCTGGGTCAACAAGCGTTACGCTAGTCAGGCCGCCAACGATGTCTTCCCATCTGGTACGCTTTGGATAGTGTCCGTGCTCTTCCAGCAAAGTTATACCGTCTACATCACCATGGTCATTGTTCCGAATACACGCACCTCATGGCGAGTAAAGGCCATGCTAGCTTTCATCGTAGCAGCGTTCTGGGTACAGAGCTGGGCCTGGTACAGCGTTACTGGCCTCATCATTGCTGATGCGGTCCTCAACATGGACTTCAAGGCCCGGTCCCAACGAGGATTCAAGATCGGCAACTTCGGTATCCCAGTCTGGCCACTTTACGCTGCGATGGTCCTTACCGGTGTTGTGCTGCAGTTCGCCTTCATCTCCGGAAAACCAGACATGCGCGACAATGAGCTATGGGGTCACACCGCGCTGTACGATGACGGATTCTTGAACGAGAACGTAGATCTAGACCAGCCGATGGCGAGGGTCGACAACTACCTCATCATCCTCGGGTCGATGCTTCTAATTGAGACGTTCGAACTGCCCCGGGCTATCCTTCGCGGAGGCTTCTTCGTTTCGCTAGGCAAGAGGAGCTTTAGTAAGTCGCAACCCTTCGACAAAGTCATTGAACAATTGCTTACACATCCCAGGCTACTTCCTCGTTCAATCCATACTCATCTACAGCGCCGGTATCAAGTTATACACGCACATGGCCGACGCCGGCATGAACGGTTCTCTGAGCACTTTTGTCTGCTTCTTGGTCTGCGCACCGCTGGTCGCTATAGTTGGAGAGATTTTCTACCGTGTTGTTGATTTGCCGAGCATTATTCTGGCTAGAGGATTTTGGGCGTTCATGACGAAATAGGTGGCGGCAATGGCGCGCTACCGGCACGTGTTTCGGGCCAGCGTCAGCCACATTTCTTGACATCTCGCTTACCAGCCGCGCAGCTTCTCTCCTCATTCGCACTGCTCGGGGAAACATTATCCGTCACATCGCCCTTGCACAAGACATTTGGCGAGAAGCTCACTGGTCGACAAGCCTTTCTCCATAGCTCGGCATGCTCTTTGGAGATATCCCCGCAGCATTGGTGATCCTTCGAAACTTCCCCGCAATGTGGAGAGACTTTAGCCTATGAACATTGGTTCGGGAAGATGCACAGTTGCTTGGATGTGGGCGTTACACTAGCTAGATCCTTCGGTGTTGTTAATCTGTATTCCATTTTCTGTCCGCATTCTTCTCCTGTTGCTGCTGTGAAAGCGCCTTCCTACTAGGTACCGTGACAAGTCTACCGACCAGCCACAATGGATAAGCCTAAGGAAACTGACACTGAACGCATCGAAAAGGCGATCACACTGGACGAGACGATCGACACAGCCCTGGACAAGCGTCTGAATCGCAAATTTGACATTCGTATCCTGCCTTGGTTGTTCGGGATATGGTATTTTGCCATCCCACACTATTCTAAAGCCCATGCTGAGTGAGAGATCTAGGCTCTTCTCGTTCATAGACCGCAGCAACATCGGCAACGCAAGAATAGCCGGCCTGTCTGACGAACTTTCTATCACAACCGGTACTCGGTTTAACATCGCCCTCCTCGTTTTCTACATCCCGTACATCCTGGTCGACGTACCGTCTAACCTAATCGTCAAGCGTTTGCGCGCCGGGATATACCTACCAGCTCTGATCACAGCATGGGGTCTAGTGTGTACGTTCATGGGCTTCGTGCAGTCATTTGCTGGGCTGGTGGCATGTAGACTGTTGCTGGGATTATGTGAAGGAGGCATTCTCGGTGGCGTGATCATCTACCTTGCCATGTTCTACAGGCGAGGCGAGATGCTGCTGAGAAGCGGTCTCTTTTATTGCGCCGCGCCTTTATCTGGGGCTTTTGGTGGACTGCTCGCTTCGGGACTGGCAACCATTGAGGTTGGGGGGTATCGAAGATGGCCCTGGATCTTCTTTAGTAAGTTCTCGCTAATGTTTCACGTTGTGGAGGTGTTGCGCTGACATGATCTCAGTTGAGGGCGCAATCACTGTTGTGTTCGGCATCGTATGCTTCTTCTTCATGCCGGATACCCCTGCCGCAGCAGGATTCTTGAGTGATGAAGAGAAGGAGTGGGCATTGCGACGCATGAGGCTTGACGCAGGAGGATCCACCGAAGTTGATGTCGACGATGAGAAATTCAGTTGGTATTGGGTCAAGATGGCACTCAAAGCTCCGCAGACGTACCTTTCTGCTTTCATCTGGTTCTTCTTGTTGGTTCCGCTCTATGTAAGCTTTTTCCGGATCTCAAATGCCGGAGACTATGCTAAAGCTTAACAGAGCTTTTCGCTGTTCCTTCCTAGTATCATTGCCGGCATGGGCTATCAAAGCACCACCGCGCAGCTCTTTACGGTACCACCTAACATGGCTGCTTTCATCACGGTCATTGGCACGGCGTACGCCTCCGACAAGTTGAAGAATCGTGGTTATTTCATCATAGGAGGTTGCGTGATAGGGATATGCGGTTACGTTATGTTGATAGTGGCGACGACGAATGCAGTGCGGTACGCCGGGACGTTCCTGGTCGCGATTGGTGTCTTTCAGGGTTCGCCCATGCTCATGGTAAGCTTCGCTTGCGATACGAAATGATTACTTTACTCATCCGTCATCAGGGATGGGCATCCAACAATCTTGCGCCTCACTATGTCCGCGCAGTCGGAATTGGTATGGTAATTTCCATTGCCAATTGCTCCGCCTTCATAGGCACGTTTATCTATCTTCAGCGCGATGCGCCGAAATATGTTCTAGGCCATTCTGTAAGCCTTGGTGCGTTGGTAGTAACGATCGTACTTGCCGCCATCCAGTGCTGGTACCTAGGTTGGAAAAACAGAAAGCGAGAGAGAGGTGAACGGGATGATAGACTCCTGCGAGCGGATGCGGACAGACTTGGCCATCAGCACCCTAGTTTCAGATTCACGTTGTAGCCGAGAGGAAGTGGTAGCCAAAAAAGCCTTGGTGGTGGTCCAGGGTGGGAGCTGATAAGAATACTACATTAGTACGTCGTCTAACAGACAAACGTGGAGAAGTCTGCCGCCTAAGACATTGTGACAGAGCAGAGTGCGCTACCCCTGAGTCACTTGGCTTTCTTGTTGTCTCTTCCCCCAATCATGCCCTTTTGCTTCGTAGTGTTTTTCTTCCATGGTGTCAGACTGCCGCCTCCAGCCACCCAGCCGATTGCCATGACGATCAACGTGAATGGCACGGCCGTTAGGAAGTACCAACCATACGTCGTCTTCAATGCTGAAACACTCTCATTCATGCTATACAGCCCAGATATAAACGTCAACGGGATGAAGATGGTCGCCAGCCATGTTATCCTCGCCATGTTATGGTTCTCTTCGAGCCCGCGACGCGAATCTTCGATGGAGATCTCCGATGTAACAATACTAGTCAGGCGGTCGACTCGCTCCTGCAGTTCATTGACAGCGGCAAGAACGCGTTTGAAGTCAGGCACTATGTCCTCGAACCCTTCTACATTGTCGTAATTTATAGTCAGGTTGTCGGAAAAGAGCGAGCGTACGGAGAGAGGTGATGTGGGCGCAACGGAGGACTGAGTAGACGGGGTAGTAAGCCGCGCTGCAGCCGGAAGCGCATGTTCCAACGTCTCCGTTATCATCTCCCGAAACACTGGGATCTGCCGACGCCAGGTATGCAGACGCTTGAGCGAAGTGTCAATGGCATCACCTTTCGAGCGGAAGAGGCGTGGCATCTCGAGTTCCCACTCTATCTGGCTGAGACGAGCTCTTACATAGTCGCACACTATGAGCCACTCTGCGCAGATGGTGTATATAGTTGGTTTGGCGAGGACTTGCGCGTTAATCTCATTTCCGTCTTTCCGCTCAAACCACGGGAAGGCAGTCGTCATTTGGACAATGTCTTCGAACCAGGATACTGAAGACTTGATTGAGGGGTAAACTTTGGTGTCCATCTTCGGTGTTGGCAACCAATTACTGCGATCATACCCTTTACAGTGTCAGTCAATTCAGTACCTCAGCTACTGTCATTTTGTTGGTACTTACAGAGTGGCCGGCCTTGGCTAACAGTTGGATCTAGCAAGACGATACCGACGGTTCCATTACCACACTTCTTGTCCTTGCCGATCCACATGGATGTACGCGTGCGCATAATGGACACGACTGCTCCCTTTCCATCTTGGTAATGCCAATGGTTCTCATCGTTATCAGGCCGTCTGAGCACGTTCCAAGAGTTTGCTTCCAGCCTCGAGTTGAAGTAGTCCTCTTCTGTTTTGTGGTATCGTAACCTCATATTGCGCATCCTGAACCAGGGCCGATGCCTCATGCTTGAGACTAGGCTGGGTGGTGACGCCCAGGGGTCACGAGTGTTGTGCCACACGTAGTCATCGATCTGCTCTCGAAAGAACAATGGATCTATATCGAAACGCGCTCCCAGCAGCTCAATGACTTGTCGAGACAGGTCTTCTACTATAAAGAGGCGCAGGGGAGGTTCTTTCGTATGCTCAAGCGACAGAGCTTGAAGAGTTTCTTGAAGCAAAGCAGGCGATTTAATCGCTGTAGCTTTTGGTGCAGTGGCAGGACGATACTCGACGAAGGTGACGTTTGTCTTATTCGCACGGGTTTCGCGTTCCTCTGGGTGCTCTTTGATCTCATTCCAGCGTAGTGGGGTAGTGCTAACCTGCATCCAGTCCGCTAGATGTCGTAAAGTCCTCCACGAAGTCGACAGCGATTTGATGTGCGCCAAATACGGCCGGCTCTTGCTGTTGCTGCATTACGTGAGTCTTGACCTGGAAGACTGTCAATGCTGTGAACTTACGGGTCCGGCAATTCCCACTCGTCTGCGACTGGTATCCTCTCGTATGCATCTCCAATCAATTCATATGGGTCAGGGAAGTCTGCACTGTGCGGAATATGTTTCGCAGACCAAAGTGCGGGGATCGTGCCTCTCTTGGAGGGTTTGCCATTGCTGTTGTCGGAGTAAGTAGACATGGTCGCTACCTAGGTACGAACACTGACAACGCGCAACCATGCCAGAGCGGGTGGCGAGATGGATTTATAGATGGACAGGCTGCAAGGCGATGTTGGGGGCTGAGGGCTGAGAAGGCTGAGACTCAAGCGCGACGATCTCTAGTTGCATCAGGGGGCTCGTACATACGCGAGGTTTCCAGCCATGTACACCCGCGCGCCTGTATGCGGGTGTGGAGAGCTAACAGATATGCCAGGCGGTCCATAATCTCTCTGCAGTCTTGATCGAGTAGATCAAGACGCGTCAAGAAGTCGTAGGGAGATCGCGTTGGCTGAATCCTCGAATTTGGCGCGCCGTCAGCTGAAACGTGCAATGTCCAATTTGGGCTAGACGTGAAGTTGGGTCCGACAGCTGCAGACAGCAACAGGGCTAAGCAAGTCACGCGTCTAATGCCAGCTCACATTGGACCTTTCCAGAGATGACTGCATTACGCGACAGGCTACTGCGTTGTCGGAATATCGTTGGACTGTGTGGTATGCGCCTGGGGTTGTGATGTTGACTGCTGCTGTCACGAAAGTTGAAGAGGGAATGACTCCACGGGAGTGGTTCCACCGCAGCAGCGCCGCCTGCCTTTTCGGTCTCCGGTCATTTCATTCCTCAAGAAACCAACACCCTATATCAGAGCATCCCTTTCAGTTCATCACACGGCATTGCCCCACGTGAAAGGCTATAATGGGGCGTTTCTGGGCTTACTCGCGTACGCGACGTCAGGATCAAATGTGGAGAGAACGCGGGGCGCGCAGTACACCTCGGAAGCCCCCAAGGGCCACAGAAACGCAACATTGGCGGGACACTTTTGCGTAGTCGCGCCCATGTCTCGATATCTTGCAGGAAATCATTAGTACTCTGCAAAACCTTTTCATTGGAATCTCGATATGACATACGGCATCTTCAAACCTCACTGGTCCAGATACCTAGGCCCTGACGCTCCCGATCCTGCCAAAGACACCTATCGACCTCACGATGAGGCTGTATTCTCGTCGCCATTTGGACCCTTTCCACCGACACCGGATGATATCAACATTCACGAACTCTGCTTTCCGCCGAACAATCCATTACCCGAAGATTACCCTCTATTCATCAATGCTATAACAGAAGAGGTCGTCACACTCCACAGCTTCTATGCTCGAGTATGTGCATTGGCGCGTGTCTTCCGGTATGACGGACCAAATCCATTGGGTTTAGACAAGAGTCCCATAGACGACAAGGAAGATGGCGAGATCCTAGCGCTATTCTCGCGAAACCACCTGCATTATCCGATGGTAGCGCACGCATGCTTTCGATCAGAATTGGTCTTCGGGGGTATCAGTCCGGCAAGTACACCGTATGAGCTTTGGTGGGTGCTCAGGAAGATGCAAATTACCAGCATCATGTGTCATGAGACACTACTCCCCGTTTTGAAAGAAGCGCTCAAGCTAGGGACTGGTGACAGCGACAATCTACCCCTCAAGCTCAAGTTGAATCCCAACAAAGTCATCGTGCTTAGCGACAATTCTCAACTAGATACCGTGTCGGGATATCGTACGATCGAGTCGCTCGTGAGGGAGGGTTCAAAGCTGCCGGAGCAGCCGCGGAAGCTGCTCGGGGGGAACCGAATGGCATATTTATTCCAGTCTTCAGGTACCTCGGGCCTACCAAAGGCAATGATGATCACACACAGTAATGGTTACCACTCTGGAATACAGACGCTTATTACTGCTACCCAGGCCGCGC